GTTTGACGTATGGAAGATAAAAATTTTCCCATCTACATGAAAAGTAATTCTTAAGGCTCTAGATGTATCAAATTATGGTTTCATTTAAATATAAAAGATGTTGACACTGATTTTTGGTTTCAATCATGACTATCGGAACATCTTTTTTTAGAATATCAAAGATATCCTCTTTAACTTATGCGATTGAAGACCAATGACTACCAGTTGATGGTAAAAATATCTTTGCAAAATTTTAATTCATATATTGCAACTAATTTTTGTTATTTATGTTGTAGACTTTTGGTTATAGAGTGAAAATCTTAGTGGTGAACATCCTTACAGAAGTACGTATGTCTCGTTGGTTGTCATATGCCCATCGGGATTATGATTCTAACGATCACTGGAACTTGATATTGAAGTTACCTCTTATAGTAATTGTTCAGTTTTTTATTTATAAAATTACCATGACTCTCTTCCAATTAAATATGTTTAGCAATATCGAGCTGTTAATATTGTTTATCATAGATCTCCTCACTTGTTGAAAATGAAACTATTGCCCCACTTACAACTTTTTTTTTTCTTTCTCCGAATCTTGTCTATTTGGCATGAGTGTATAAGTTTCAAATATCACTAGTGCAGAAACGACTTTTTACATCGGGCGAAATTGACTTTTTACATCGGGTCTTAGTCCGATGTAAAGCCAGGCGATGTAATAAATCAAAGACATTTTACATCGGGTTTGTGGCCCGATGTAAGAAATACACCAATCACATCGGTTAAATTTTTAAGTCTGATGTGAAAAAAAATTTATAACTGTAAATTTTAATTATAAAATGGTGTTTTTTACATCGGTTGCAGAGAAAAACCGATGTAAAAGGTGGGTATTTTACATCGGTTGCGTGACAAAACGATGTAAAAAGTACTGGAGGAAAAAAAAAATTTCATGCTGACACTTTTTTACATCGGTTTGTTGGTTCAACCGATGTGAAAAGTACTGTAGGAAAAAAATTGCTGACACTTTTTACATCGGTTCTGTGGTTAAACCGATGTAAAAGGTAGTTTTTTACATCGGTTTTTTCTTTCGCCCGATGTAAAAAGTACTGTTACGAGTATAAATTATTTGCCTATTTTTTAGTCGTTCCCTGTATCTTTTTTGGTACCTAATTTTTCATATTTTTCCAACATTACACATACCATAATTAGGTCGCTATTTTCATAGTGCACATCATATAGACCACATTTAGGTCGCTATTTTCATAGTTTTGCAACATCACATAGATCATATTTAGGTCGTTAGTTTCATATTTTTCTCATAAATCTAATTTGATTGCACCAAATATCTAGTATACAAATAAGTGATTCACAAAAGTGTCAATATAAAGGATATACACAAATGTACTAACAACAAAAAGGCCGGTTAACCTTTATACACAAATGTGCTAACAACAAAAAGCTACACAAATGTACTACAACAACAAAAAGGTTAACCTTTATATAATTCAAAGAAACATGTTGCCCAACGGAGTCGCAAATCATACAAATCATCGGGCGATAGGTTCGTTGGGTCATCAAATACCTACAACACGTAAGTAACAATAGAGTTATTCTTTGAAAATTCATATTAAGTTGCAAAACGTAAAGTAAATAACAAATTAAAGTCATTTTTATTACCTTCATCCAAGAGTTAGTTATATTGGCAGAGACAATATCCAACATATTTTTCATCACATAATACCCACAATCATTAGAGTTAGGTTGTTTCCTTGTCTACAAATGAATGACATAATTAGTAAATACTTATATGATAAAATTAAATATCTAATTATAATTTACACCACACTTACATTGGGTTGAAGCCATGTAGCCTTTTTTCTATTCCCATTTGCCGCTTGATGAACCCCAAAAGCACTAATTCAGAAGAAAAAAATTCATATAAAGCCACACAATATATGATATTACTTTTGTAACAAATTATGTATATAGGATGAAGTGAACATTAAAAAATAAACTTACTTTGTAACAATTTTTGTCATGGTTTGATTAAGTTCATGATGAAGGGAACAAAAGACGACCACCGTATTATCATTTGGACACATGACTATTAATTGCCAATGACCTCTGTACATGTGTGTGGAAACACAAAAGTCACAATTTCATGTTACCAAAATTGAATTATATATGTTACCAAAATTAAAAAAATAGAAAACATAGTTTCATACAAACTTACCCATGAATAAATGGTAGCAAGTGACACTCTCTCTTTTCGTCACGTAACTTATGTTGTATGTATTGTTTGACATCTGCTTGAGATCTCGGCACATGATCAACGTACGAACACATAGCAGGGTCCATAAATCCGTATACTTTAGATTGTGAAGTATCAATACACAAACGATGAATATACCTAAAAAATTTTAAAATCAACATTATAATAAAAGTGATGAGAGATATAACATATTAATAGATATTGACACTGATAAAAATAGAAAATATACTTACGTGCACCAAATTCTTATAATTAAAAAAGACGACAAATTCTTATTGCACCCTATATGTTTCTAAGGCACCATGTGAATTTTCACATATGCTCTATGATTTTGGAGATATATCTCGAGACGCACATATTTCTAAATAAACGTTGATATATTTCGGAGATGAATCTTTAGAACCATTTTAAACATTCAGAACATGTCACTCATAAACCATTTAGATTTGAATTGTTCTGGAGATGCATCTACAGGAGTTTTCTGGAGTATCAGAACATGTTGTTTTTTGCTATAAGCTGCGTATTTGTTTTCAGATGAAGTGTGAAGCACGAACTAAAAAAAAAGACGTACAAAATAATAAGAGACTAATACTGGGTGTGTCGAAAATAATATAGCAATATAATAATAAAATGTCGCACAAACGAGATCCAAAATGTAGTAACAATGTCAGAAATATAGTACAAACTATACTACTACAACAAAATAATAATTGACAACTACTGGGTGTGCATGACAACCTCTTCTTTACCTCCTCGAACATCAATCCCTTGTCCTTCGACGATGTCTTCGGTACAATAGTGCCTCCGCCACCATGGCATGCAGGACTTGCCTCACAACAAATCTCTCGAAAAAGATATCCTCGTCAATGTCTGCCCGCGCAATCTCCATTATACGATGACACTGAGGCAAGGCATCATTAGTATGATCTAGTTGAGCCTGCTCCTCCTCAAGTATCTCCTGATGAGTTGGTCTCGGCGGATCTCCTAGAGCAGCTTGCACCATGTACAGATGTGACACCTTGAAGAACCACCTGATGTACCCATCAACGTGACTCCAGTTGTTCGACGCTATGGTAGCCCATGCCTCTTCTTGTACCAGATGACTCTGAAAACCAACAAACATCTCCTCTATTTGTCTATGAAACATTGCAGAAGGAGCAGAGACAACAGGGTGTCTGAGTGTACCCGAACTTTCGTATGACGCGCTCGGAAAAATGAGGGGCAGTGATACGTGATCCGCATGCCAACCATCAAGAGTATGGAGCTATGTCATCAAATGACCACGTCTGAAGGTGATCCACGTAGCTGTTGAAGTGCATGTCCTCAGCAATCAAACGGTTAAGGTAGACTCTAAAAGGCTCGACCGTCTGGTTCTCTCTCAGCGGGATAAAAGTACAAGCACGAGACACGTTCTCTCAGCGGGATAAAAGTGTTGGAGGATCCAAGCCTGAAATTAAAAAAAAAATCAAGGATATAGAATTATTGACAATGATTTCACAAAACTATTGCAAAGATACATCTCCAGAAATGCCATAAAATTATTACCTTTGAAGAGTTTCGAAGATGTATCTCCGAAAATTCCCAAAGTATATGAAATGCTGAACTATTCTGGAGATGTATCTCCGGAAAGTTCTGCAATTCAGAGGTCACGACAATGGCGTAATCTGACTCATGCAAGTTGAAAAAACATGATCTAATCGCCATTTTGAGCCAACAAACAAGTCATATACTAAGTCTAAACTATGTTACATGCGATTCCTACACATTTCTAACCCTAATCATTGATTTTCACACATTTACACAAAAACTCAAAATTTATCCAAAAACTCAAAAATTTACCTGAAATTTATGGTTTTGATGATGTTGAATGATGTTTGATGTTCCTCTGAATCTTGTTTGATGAAATTTGATGTTGTGAAGAAGTTGAAATTTTATGTTGTGAATAGTTTGAGAAGTGTGAGGGAGGGAAAAAGTCTGATGCGATTTATGCTCCAAATTGTTTCTGAAATTTGGATGCGTCCAAAAATATATCTTCAAAAATAGAGGGCATTTATGAAATTTTACATGATGCGGTAGAAATACATAGAATGAAAAAAGAAATTCTAAAAAAGAAAGACTAGGTTAGAAGTAAACAAATTGGGCTACTGTCATTTTAAACCACCCGGGTCATATGGATCCACAAAGTAGATATGTCAAGAAAATAAACAAACAAGTTTTTAATTTGGTAAGAAAAAAAATGTTTTCAATTTGATCATCCAAACAACATTTCTTTCAATCAAGACCGTCCATTCATCTCTCTAAATCCACAAAGAGTAAATCCAACCGTCCAATATTGACAGCAAAAACTTGAAATTTCAAAACCAAGAGGGGGAGGAGTGTGTGTTCTTTCTTCTTCTTCTTGTAGCCCTTTGTTTTTTTTTTTCTCTCTGCAATACACTTTCTCTCTCTTAAAAGCTTCACAAATTTCCTTCACTATCACTCTCTCTAAAACCTCTCTCTCATTCTCTCTTTCTCTCATTGTATCACCAATTTTGGATCCAATATATAACTTTTTTGAATTTTTGAAAAAATTAATTTTTTATTCGAAATTTAAATTCCGAGCTTCGAAATCCGTGTCCGAAATTGTTCACACTCTGAACCTATTTGATTTTTTATATTTATGAAAATTTTGAGAGAAATATCGTAATCGGTGTTCGTTTTGGGTTTGAATTTGAATTTTGAATTCTGCGTTTCGATTGTGATTCTGTCGTTTATTATGGAGGAAGGTGAAGGAGGGGATGGTGGTCGGAAGAATGCTCCGTTGGTTTCGGAATTTGTTGTGGCTGCTTCACCGACGGCGGCTGCAAAGGCGTGGTTGGATGCTCCGGCAAAGAAGCTAGCGAGACAGCTAGATTTCAATGCTACGATGGAACAGTCGAAACCTCAGCTGCAGACAACCAGTGTGACGGTGCAGAAACCGGCGGGTGCTTTGCCTTTGCCGCCGATGGGACTTCACTCTTCTGTGAGGGTTGGGTGAGTTTGTTTGAAATGATTAACTGTTTTGAATTTTGATGAAAATTTGATCTTGTATGAAATTTTTAAGATTTGAAAAAAGTTTCCTCTTTGGTTTTTGTTGTTTGGTTGATTTCAATTTTCAATTTTCAATTTTTTTGTTCTTTGGAAAAGTGTAGTTTTATCATTCTTGGTATAGATAGGAACTTAAGAGGTTAGAATGCAGGCTTTAATTGCATACACATTTTATGAACTTCTTAGCTGTAATTTGACTAGTTTCCATTCATGTTTGTGTTTTGATTAAAGTGTTTAGAATTTAAATTTAGGAAATGGATATTTAGTGGTAAGCGGTGCCGGAGTCAAGTTTAAATTAGACGCATGAGATTACCAGTTTGCTAAAGTCACAATGTGAGCTTTCCAATGACTATTCAACGACTCAGATTGATTGACTGCAGTGATCGGAAGGAACTCTGACTGCGGGGAATCTGGGTCGTTGAATTTACTTACATGTGTATATATGGCATAGAATAGCTGATTAGTTGTTGGTACAATGGACTTGGAGGGGAATTGGCTTTTGTGGGAAAAACATATGATATGGTTGGATACAACATTGCACGTATATCAAAATCTTTGTATGTAAAACATCGGAACATCGGAAAAACAAATGAAAGTATCATAGCATTTTTCATAAATAAAAGTCATCAATTGGGTCACTAAGTAATTGAAGGAAAAAGTGGAGGAAAAAATAGTTTATTTACATTTTTAGATTGTGTAATAGAGGGAGACGTGAATTATAGGATTCAATTGAGGGAAGGGAATGAAATGGAAAAGGCTTTTGTTATTTCATTTGTGATGGAAAAGTGCCTTTCAAGCAAAAAGGAAAATTATACAACAAATGCGTTCGACTAGTGACACTGTGATTATAATTCTTGAATGTTTGCAATAAAGGGTCAACAAGAGCATAGGATAACTCTTACATAGTAATAAAATATAAGATTACGATTAAATGAATTAAAAAGACAAATTTCTGGCGAGTGACGCCCATTGTGGAAAATATGGTAAGTTTATGCATACTATGGTTTGGACATGCGAGAGAAAGATCAATAGAAGTTCTAGATAGAATAAAGGCAGACCAAGAGAGTTACTGCTTCAAGTGAAGTGGGCATTTCCTTATGGTACATAATTTTGAAGTTTTGATTCTGTTAGTCATGATAGCTATGAATGTGATATTATATCTCTGTACCTTTCTTTATGTTTTGACAAGCTTGATCTGATGTATCTGTTTGAGTAAATTTCCACGAAGATATCCACTTTGACAATAGCATTTTGCAAATGTCTTCATGTAAAAACTCAAGCAGCTGTTATTGGTCTTCTATTAACTAACCTTTAATTTTTCAGGAAACCAGAATCTCCCAAACCAAGATCAAGACCTAACTTTGAAGTGAAAGAAGGTACTCCAAAGAAGCAAAAGCAGTGCAATTGTAAACACTCTAAGTGCTTAAAACTGTAAGAAAAACTCTTTATTTCTCTCTGCAAGTGTGTGTGTTTCTTTGAATGGTCTCTGCAGACAATAAGCACATATGTGTGTGTGCATTCATACCATGTGCTAGCACACATTCTCACATTTGCAACTATGAAATGAAGAATTGTTCCTAAGTAGTTATGCACAATATTGTATGAGTATATATTCTTGTTGCTCTTTTAAGTATACAGCAACATGTTTCTATTGCTTAATGTTTTTTTTTTTTAATATGATAAGGCACATAGAATGAGTTTGAAGTTCCCCTCGTCCTTTCCATGATTGAAATTTTGTAGCACCAAGCTGCCCTATTAAAAATAAAGGAATTTTCTCACCTATCAAATGATTGATCATTATTTTTTTGTTGTTTATGGTTACAATGAGAATTAATGTCTGGGCATTACTGATTTTAATTTAGTGATTTTAATCTTTAATCATTAGTTAAGTTGCCTTATATCAAAAGGCTTCTTATTTTGCATTTCTTTTCCTCCTCTTATTTTTGTGTGGTTGTGTTTCATTCCCTTCCTTTCTTGGCTTTTGATATTTTTATCTTGATTAATAGATGGTCCATAAAAATTTAATGCATGGTTGAAGCTCTTAATCAAAAGCTAGTAACTTCGCAAATAGGGTACAGTAAAATACTTGGGGTGAGCTTGGGTAGGCAGCTGTGGCCCTCAGTTGCCTGCTTTGACATGACTACCCACAATTTTTTTAGGAGGTGTGGGATTAGCTTTCTGATTCAACAATATTGAACACTCCTGAATTTGCAAGGATAATCGAAATAGTTGGGAACATGAAAATGAGTAGCACACATGACCAGGAAACAAAATTGGGGTATCTTTTGATAGTATTCATCATCAAAAGATTTATATAGTACGCATAGGTAGTTTTAATGTTTAGTTATTGGTTTCCCATGGCCATAGTTAGGCCCAATTTTATCTGAATTATCATGAAAAATGTTTTTCCCTTGGTCAAAATTTACCATCTCCGATCATTTAATCTCTCGTTTGGCAGAGGTCGTTTGTTACAGCTTACTGGCTGCTATTATTATACAGTGCTACGTGAAGTTGACTTTCAAAATGTTTTGTGCAGATATTGTGAATGTTTTGCATCAGGAATATACTGTGACGGTTGCAACTGTGCAAATTGTTTCAACAATGTTGATAATGAAGCTGCTAGACGAGAGGCTGTTGAAGCTACTTTAGAGCGCAATCCAAATGCATTTAGGCCCAAAATTGCGAGCAGCCCTCAGGGAGCACGCAATAGCAGGGTAAGTAGGTCTAACTTTTTGTGGCAGGTAGTATTGTATAGCAAGCTTTCTTCTGTGCTGATAATGCAATACTTTATCCTATTATCTCTGATATTTATTCCTTTTCACTGGGGAGTGAAGAGATTTTTGTGGATATGATATAAGCTCGGTTTTTTCCAATAGTAGAAAGCTTCCTATTCGATTAGGTTTGCCACCTTTCCATAATTGATAATTATGGAATTACACCTTCTGCTTCCGAGTTACAGCTGAAAAATATTTTCCTAGATAAATTTTTAAATTTTTTGTTGATATTAAACATTCTTACTGTGTATTGGCTGCTGTTGGTCCATTCCCTTCAATATATTGATTCTATTACTCTGAGATCATAACGAACGATTATTCTTTTTCTTAATGTCTCAAATTATTTCCTTGCAAGACAACAGTGTTAAAATATAATTCGACGAAACTACTTCATTTTGATTTTTGTTTACTTATTTATGTTTGATTTTATTTAAAAATTTTAGGATAGGAAGACAATAGTGTTGAAATATAACTAGAAAAAAGTTGTAATATTTTTTCAATCACGGGCCTACACAACTATTTATATTTTCACATGAAGTTGGACTTATCCTGGTTTAATTTTCTGAAATGCTTGGATTTTATAATTAAACTACCTTACAAATGCTTTTGTATATGATCTACATAAATGATAAAAAAACAGTTTTTGGACTTGGCAATGCTGCATTTATTAGAAAGTTTATTGAACAATTTTTTTATCTATTGCATACTAAAATTTGTCTGTCGTCTATGGGAATTTGAAAATAAATGAAGGAGGAGGCTGGAGAAGGTGTAATATTAGTAAAACATAACAAGGGGTGCCATTGTAAAAAATCCGGCTGCCTTAAGAAGTACTGTGAATGCTTCCAAGCCAACATTCTTTGTTCTGAGAACTGTAAATGCATGGACTGCAAGAACTTTGAGGGAAGCGAAGAGAGACAGGCTTTGTGTCACGGAGATCAAAATAACAACACTTATATTCAGCAAGCGGCAAATGCTGCTATAACTGGAGCTATTGGTTCCTACGGCTATTCATCGCCTCCAGTATCAAAGAAACGAAAAGGTCAGGAACTCTTCTTATGGCCTACAGCCAAGGATCCATCAATTGGCAAGCCGGGACAACAGGTAAAACTTGATCATTGCACAAGGCGTACTGATTCTGGGGTTTATTTAAACATAGGTATTGGTTAACATTCAAACCAGTTGACATGGCAATTTTTAGTCACTTAAGACAACTATGTTTTTGTTAGGAGTTGGCACGGTTATCTTTGAGCTTAAAATACGCATATAAACTTGATTTAAGTCTTCACTAAATTAAACTTGTCTCCACTAGATTTCTCAAATTTCTAATTTTAAAGTTTTCGGTACAGAGACAAGTTTGGTCTGAAGCCAAAGTTTTAGCTTCAATACCATAATGCTTTAAGTCATTCATATTTGCTAGCTGTGTAATATGGTGAATGATATCAAGACTCGTGAGCACCTTTTGTTACTTGACTTAGGTACACTATCATCACAAAATGCTTTTAATTTTTGTCAGGTAAACCATGTAAAAAATTCAGCACCTTCGTCATCATTATCACCCGTCTCAAGTGGTCGTGTCGCAAATGCAACATTAGGTCAGAGTCCATCAAAATTAAAGTACAGGTAATATTGGTTATTGGTTATATATATGAAATTAAGGTAAATATAATAAACTTAGTTGCTTACTTGATTATTTTTGAAGGTCTCTTTTAGCAGACATTGTACAACCACACCACCTCAAAGAGCTTTGTTCAGTTCTGGTGCTAGTATCTGGACAAGCTGCAAAAACACTTGCAGGTACATTGACATTTTAACAACGCCAATCATCAATTGTGATTGCTCTTTAAAGGCCCATCATGTTTTCTTCCATTCTTTCGTCGTTGTATGAGTGGCTGATATTAACCTTGAGAGTCTTTTCCTCTGTACTTATCACTTTTCCATGCTTTCCCTGCTTTTGTAAACAGGCTCACTAGTTAAAATCACACATAACGATCGGATACCTTTTTCACTACATTGATTGGTTTTTGTTTTGTTTTGTTTTAATTTGATCAGACCAGAAAAGTTTAGTGGAAAAACGTACAGAAGATGAGACACAAACATGCCTTGCTTCTTCAACTCAAGAGCAATTGTTACCAAGTAAAAAAGAAGTTGATGCTGAGAAAGCTGTGGAAGATGATTGTTCGAGTGCAAATCAAACAGATAAAATCAGCCCAGATAATTCCTGTTCAGATGGTGCTGACGTCTCAAAAGGGAGACCAATGTCTCCCGGGACTTTAGCCTTGATGTGCGACGAGCAAGATACAATGTTCATGCCAACTGCCTCTCCCATTGGGCCAATGACGCAAGCTTGCGACACGTCTTCGCGGTTTCCTAGTGGACAAGGAGTGACAGAGGTCTACGCTGAGCAAGAAAGAGTTGTATTAACACAATTTAGAGATTTTCTCAATAGAGTTATCACAATGGGAGAAATAAATGGTACTAATACTTTTGTATATTCCTCATATTTTCGCTTACCCTGTTAAATAAAATTGCTTATTTTTATTCACAATTTCAGAGACAAAATGTTCTTCATTGGCTAGAAGTGAGTTAGAGAGTCAAAAGGATCCAATCAACAATCGAATTGGAAATACCAGTACTGAGATAGTACATTTACAAGAAGCCACTAGCAATGGTGATGCCAAACCTGTAGTTCCACCTATGGCCACAACTTCAACACCTGTGGCCACAACTTCAACACCTGTTGTGGTCCCTGGTGCTACTATAGCTGAAAATGGTGAAACTAAGCTGAATAAGGAAAAAGAGGTATGAAAGCAATCTAACTTAGAAGAATTTGCAGAGGTGCCCCTGAAAGAAAATATGAGAGAAATATCTTTAAGGGTTTAGAACTTCTCTGTAATGTAATTAAAAAAACATTGCCATTAGTCATTTTCTGCATTTCTCCTCTGTGAAGGTCTGTTAAGCATCAGGCCTCACCATTAATCCATGGAGGATCAATTTTTCTTCCATCAATTTTCTTACTCTACTTTGGCCATTCATAAATATCTTATTTATTATTTTTCAGCTTCATCATTGCTTAATTGCGACTTGTAAATTGCTGAGTTTTAATTTTATAAATTATAATTTTTATATTGCGATCAATGTCTCCGAGTTGTAATTTAGAATGTATTTCACATTTTCTAACTTAGGGATTTATCCTTATTTCATATCTCTTCAGCTTATTATTCTTCATTACTCCCTCTAACTTTGACTGAAAATTCAAAATTACATTCTTTAAAATGCATTTCATGGCAACCTGTTACATAGATCATATTGAAAATATTTTAGAAATGTCACAAATGTCTCTAGTATCATGCATCTTTAGACGCACCTAAAAACACACTAACAAAAACGTAAGTGGAACACATACTTTATAGTTTGAAATGATTTTCTAAGAGTCTATTTCGGATATTTCGGATTTAAAGTTGACCATATAGGACATTGCTTCAACTCTTTTAAATGCAAAAGGCATATCAAGCATCACCTTCAAGAAGTTCTCAGCAAGATCAAGCTTGGTTGGTGAGTCATCTTTATGTTCCTTCAATTTACATTCTTCTTCCTTGGTTGGTGTCATTTTTAACAAGCTTTCAAGTAGCTCTGTTCCAAGTGTATCACTACTAGGAAAGGTTAATTTAGTGTATACTCGATAAATATTTGAAGGCGGTTGCGAGAATGACAGTTAATTACCATACCTTATGAACAAAGACTACGACTTAATAGATGCCTAATCAATAATTATTGATCCAATACAAAAAATTATAGAAAATCAAAGTCATTTGATTACCTAGGGAAGTGTATGTCCGGAATAATTCCGAGATGTATTTTTGGACTAATTTTAGAGAAATTGGAGTGTCTTACGAAGTGCAGACTAGTATTATTTTAGACGTATTTGAAAAATGTATCTCCGAATACATAAATGACATTTTTGGATTTTCAAAAGTGTGGACTGCATTTTTTTAAGGATGGAGAGAAGCATTTCCCTTAAACAAACCATCAAATCTATTTTTGTCTCATCAATTTATTTTATTGAGAATTTTTATCAAATCTATGTACAATTTGGCCCAAAAGACTTCAAAGAAAACAAGGTGCATTGTAATCTTTTATTTTCAAGATTTTTTCTTCTGTAATGGAACCATAATTGTTGATAAAACTGTAGAGTTGATCCAAGGTACAATGCACTATACTTCTGGTACGCTGATATGAGGGTTAATATATAAAATTAACACTTCAATGCACGAGTCAGTGAGAGTACACAAAATGATGTAAAGTGGAGATGAATTTAAATTACTTAAAAACAATGCACTTCCTCCCTTATATAGGAGAGGTGGTTAAAATTGTCTATGTGGGCGTCGCGTGTTGTGCAATGGATCATTTGATCGATTTGGACGGTGTATGATGTGTAAGAGTTCAGAATTACCTATCTTTATTAATAGTGAAGGTTCACCTGTTTTACACATGTGTATATTTAATGTTCGCCTTTGGGTTTTCTGTATTGAACCTTTTGGGTAGCCTAAAACAGTTGTCTCTAAACCCTTATCGCTGCTCTATATGGAGAGGGTTTCATCGGGTACACTCTTAAACCAACTATCACTTGAAGCAAAAGAAAAGTCTTAATGGGACATCAATAACATTTGGAATATGTGCACCAAGTGTATTACTTGTACTAGACGTTGCTTCATAGGAAACTCTTGATGTGTGTCCTCTACTCTCTTAGTAATGATGACTCATTTATATTGGGATACTCGAGTGTCGAAGCGATATTCAAGGAGATCTGGACCGTTGGTAGTGCAAATCTTACTTTACTATAAGAGATCGAGAGGTTCTCTGTTATAGGAATACCCGTAATAGTTTTGTAACTTGCCACTTTCTAACTTTTGTCATTTGGAGAAATCATGATCTTATTCTTCTTCATTAGTTCACCTATAGCTTTCAACGTGAAGCCTCTCTGCCCTTTAGGGCTTTGGTTTTGTTGTTTGTCTTGTTTATTATAGTTTATCATTACCGCTTTCTTTATTGAGTCTCATCTAGTTAGATTTTTACAAGGCAAAAATACTATCTAAGTCCTTTGAGTTATTTTAAAATATAAAGTTAGTCCTTTAAGTTTTTTTTGTAACGCTTTGCTCCTTTATGTTAAGTAACATTTGCGTCGTTGACCTTTTTAAAAATCTCCGTTACAATAAATTGCAAACTCATATAGCATTTGAATTGGTTTTTCGCACTGCTCACGAATATGCTATCAAATTTATTAAACAAGTTACGGTTCATGAGAATCAGAGAAAAAGTGGACAAATACATAATGAAAAATTGTTCGATCCGACCAAAATACACAATCAAACGCAAATTTAATTACATATTTGTAATCAACGTGAAAAACCAGTTCAAATGGTATATGAGTTTGCAATTTATTATAAAGGGGATTTTTAACAAGGTCAATGACGCAAATGTTAATTAACATAAAAGACCAAAGCGTTACAAAAAAAAAATTTAAAAGACTAACTTGATATTTTAAAATAACTTAAAGGACTAAAACAATATTTTTGCTTTTTTACAAATATCTTAGAATTGAGTGCATTGCTTTTTTAAATGATATTTTGCATTAAATCATGTTATGCATGCATAATCAATGTGTTTGTATTTGAGTATGATCATTATGCTTTAAGTCAATTGGTTGAGTTAATGGAACACGAACCATATTTGAGGTTGTTCCAGTTATGTAGCAAGTGGAATCTCAAACTATTTTGAAATACTTGGAAAATTGAGATTTCACGTGTGTGACTCGAATCACACACAATATCTTACTCAAATAAATCTAACAATGGAAATAGGATAATCTTGTGTCTGTGATTCGAATCACAAATTACACTTGATTCAAATCATGCAACATTATGATTCGGGTCACAAGTTACACATAATTTAAATCATACAAGCTTTTATTAGCCACTGCTTAGTTTGATTCAGATCACAACTTACACATGACTCGAATCACATAGTTTCACACATTTTTCTGTTGGCCCTGTTCAATTTGACTCGAATAACAATTTCTACTTGATTCGAATCATGAACCTTCATGACTCAAATCACATTTTTAATTTGACTCGAATCATAGGAAAATAGGTCACTTCTTTTATGTTGATCTTGTTCCACTCTACTTGTTCACTTGACTCAAATCAATAAATATTATTGACTCGAATCATATATAATTTTTTCACTCATTTTGTGCATAATCTCAAGCACCTATATAAATCATTTTTCTCTCTCCCTCACCATTAATTTTTCAGATTATCGTTTTTCATTTTTCATTATAATAATGAGAATGATTATTGTGATGATAATCATATCTTTAAAAGTATTTCTAAAAACTTGGAAACACACTTTTAAAGAACACTTGTTTCACATATATCTTAGCATCTGAGCTCATTTTCAACCTCTAGCAAGATTAACATAATTATTGCTTCTCAGTTCTAGGGAACGTGAGATTTATTGTAGAGGAGGTTTATTAATGTTGATGTTTGTGAATTTCTTGAGTTGCAGGTCAAAATTCATATTGTGTGGTGTTGCTGGAGTTTGGAAATTTAGTAGGAAAAAGAAGAAGTATTTTTTTCTAGGATTACTTCGATAGAGCTGTGTGGAAACCTACAAACAAAGTCAGAGTTTCTATATTCTTCCGACAGTTTATCGCTCAAGAAATTGGTGGGATCAGGGGGATTGTCACATATGAAGACTTGGAACAGGTTGGTGATTTAGGAAAATTTATGTCAATATCAGGTGGATCTTGCAAGATTGACGAAGCAGATGTTGTAACGCCTCAAACTGCTTTTAGGGTTACCGACTGTCTCCAAAAACCAACACAGATCTTTTCAGCATGTTTTGTCCTCCCTTACACGCTTTCTGAAAACTTCCCATAAGGTCATCCATCCAAATACTACTCCAAGTCAAGAACGTTTAACTATGATGTTCTTATATGTTAGGCTACCGAAAAGAAGATACATCTTGTTGGTATAGGTAATATCAATCAATCCTTACAAGTCTTTCTTGAACCATGCTGTCACATACCTGTGAAGCCTTAGGATCCTCTCACTTCGATGTGAATTCGAGTGATTACTACCTACCTTCTTCGGCCTCAGGTGTTTTAACCACTCCTTGTCCTTTTTGGCCTCAGGTGTTACAGATGCCATACACAGCAAAAGAGGATCAAGATAAGAAGACTAGCTATTTTTAGAAGTATCTTGTATCAAATGGTTATATAATTTCTATAAAATAATTTTCATATTATCATTATAATGAAAGAAACAAAATTTTCAAAGGGAAACAATTGAAAAATATATTAAGCTCTTACAAGAACGATAGAGTTGAACCACTATATTTCTAGTGTACTCTTACAATGCAGCAAATAAAGAGGTCTTCATAGGTTATCCCTCTCCTACACGATAACTCAAATACCCTGTCCATTTGGGAAGGTTCTACTCCCGGGGTTTCTAATAGACCGATTATTTCGGTCATATCTACCTTAGCACAAATGGAAGTATAAAGTTCATCGCTCGGGTCATGGTGGGCGGTAATTTGTGTTTGTCGCAGCTTAAAGGCGAGGAAAGTTCAGCTCTTAGTCTTGAACTTAAAGCGCCCCAAGTAGATGAGTTATTGAGTAGGAGAGCCTGAAGGATCAAGTTCCATGTGAGGTTAAACTTCTTCCTCGACCATGTTACCTCCTATGCTTCTAGAGCAACTTGGCTAACATTATATACTAGGAAAAATGTGTCGTTAGTGATCATAAG